ACTACTACTACTACTAGTACTACTACTACTACTACTACTATTACTACGACGACTACTACTACTACTACTACGACTGCTACGACGACGACTACGACTACGACTACTACTACTACTACTACTACTACTACCACTACTACTACTACTACCACTGCTTCCGCGATTACTAAGACCACGACGGTTACTACTATGATTATGTCCACTACTTCTACTACCCGAGTACTAGTATTACTATTACGACGATTACTATCACGACCAGTGTTGCTACTACTACTACTACTACTACGACAATTACTACGACTACTACTACGACTACGAGTATTATTGTTACTAGCGCTACTCCTTTGACGACGACTGCCCTTGCTACGACTTTTTTATTTAGTTCTACCACTTCTACTACTAGGATCATTACTACTACTACTACTTCTACCACTACTACTACTACTATTTCGACTACTACTACTACCACTACTACTACTCCTACTACTACTACTACTACTACGATTACGGCGACTACTACTACTATTACTACTACTACTACTACTACTACTACTACTACTACTACTACTACTATTATTACTATTACTACTACTACTACTACTACTACTACTACTACTACTACTACTCCTACTACTACTACTACTACTACTACTACTACTACTACTACTACTACTACTACTACTAATAGTAATAGTACTACTACTACTACTACTACTACTACTACCACGCAATCTACGACTACGACTATTACTATTATTTTCACGACCATTACCACGATTTCTGTAACGAAATTACGAAACGACAATTACTTCTACGATGATCACTATTATTACGATCACAATTACGGCTACTACGACCAAAATGCCTACTACGACTACTACTCCTACTACTACTACTACTACTACTACTACTACTACTACTACAACTACTACTACGACTACTACTGGTACGATCATTACTACTACGATTACTATTTCTACTACTACTTCTACTCCTACCTAGTACTACTACTACTACTACGACGACCACTACTACTACTACTACTGCTGCTGCTGCTACTACTACTACAACTACCGGTACTACGACTACCGGTACTACAACTATCACGACCCCTACCACTACTACTACTACTACTACGACTCCTACTACTATTACTACTACTACTACTACTACTACTACTACTACTACTACTACTACTACTACTATTACTACTACTAATAATACTCTTACTACTACTACTACTACTACTACTACTACTACTACTACTACTTTTACGACTACTACTACTACTACTACTACTACTACTACGACTACGACTACGGCTACTGTTACTACCACTACTACTACACCTACACTACTACTACTACTACTACTACTACTACTCTACTACTACTACTACTACTACTACTACTACTACTACTACTACTACTATTACTACTACTATTAATACTACTACGACTACTACTACTACTACTACTACTACTACTACTACTACTACTACTTTTACTACGACTACTACTACTACTACTACTACTACTACGACTACGACTACGGCTACTGTTATAACCACTACTACTACCACCCACTACACTACTACTACTACTACTACTACTACTACTAACTACTACTACTACTACTAATAACAAATACTACTACGACTACGATTCCTACCACTACACTACTAGTATTACTACTGCTAATATTACTACTACTTCTTCTACTACTACTACTACTACTACTACTACTACTACTACTGCTACTGCTACTGCTACTGTTACTACTACTAGTACTACTACGAATACTACTACTTCTATTTCTACTACTACTACTACTACTACTACTACTACTACTACTACTACTACTACTACTACTACTACTACTACTACTATTACTACGACTACTACTACTATTACTACTACTACTACTACTGCTGCTACTACTACTACTACTGCTGCCGCCATCACCCCACTACTACTACCCGTTTCCATGCCCTTGCCTTGTTCCCCCATACCTTCTTTCTTCTTTCCATTTCTTCCCCTTTCCTTTTTGCCTTTTCTTCCCCGTCCCCCCTTCTCTCATCTTCCCCCGCACACCCTCCCCCCCCCGCTTTCTGACACTTTTCGCAGCACGGGCTCGTAGATTTCAGCTCGACGCATGGGATGTATGAGCGTTTCAACGATGCCACACCTAGCCGAGCTGAGCTCGGGCACGGTTTCTCCGTGCAGCCCGGCACCTTGTCAACACATAAACGACGATACGCAAAAGGCCGTGCCATCGCAGTTGCCCGCTTCCAAAAGGAAATTTGTATGGATCACGCCCATGCATTTTCCACGGGGAGGGGCAGTCGCCCTCTCGCCTTGGCCTTTTTCTCCCGAGAATGCTAACATGGATGAAGGCGCGTGGATTTCCGGCGGGTCCCGTATCCATACAAAACCAGCGCGATGTCGCCAAATGAGGCGACGCTGGATATATCGGGGCTACCTTCCCCGATCCATGGATTTGGCGACCGCGCACGAGATCCGCGCATCCATAGTCCATGTCAGCGCGCGCCCGACTCTATCCCTCTCTTCTCGCCGTCTGCGCGCTCATGGGGCCGAGCGCGACGGCCCCCCACGGGCGTCGGCAGGCCCCCGCCCACCTCGGGCTCGAGCCACGCGGCCACAAAGAGCGCGGCCCGCCCCCCCTTGTCGGGACCGACCAGGGCCCACGACGCGCCGGAGGAGGCGGGGCGAGGGCGGCGACCCTCTGAAAGGGCGGGGCGTTCCTCAGAAGGGACCCACGAGGACCCCCCTGGAGGGGGGCGGACCATGTCAAGGAGCCGCTTACCCCCTGGGGCTCTTGGGGAGCCCCTTTTGCTCTCTCGGGAGGCCACACCTCCCTCGCGGCACCCCCCTTGCGCGCGCCGCTCACGGGGCTGGGCTGGAGCCCCCGCGGGCAGGGCGCGCGCCATGCGGCCGCGCGCAGGAGTGGCCTTGCGCCAGGGCGACGTTTGGCGCGCGGCCCTCGGGGAGCTCCTCGTCGGTTCCCGGAAGCCTTCCTGCCCCGGGGCCCGGACATGTGCGTGCCGGAAACATCACGCTTCAAGGTTTTTGGACGCTTTCGGCTTCCATAGGGCCCATACCAGGCCCCAGGACCGTCAAACTACGACTCGGGATGAAAAACCGGCCCTGGGGGAGCAGTCTGATTTTCTGGGAAGCCCGCATCGAAAAAAATCAGCACATTGCAAGTCCGGGGTAGCGTCCCAGCAGCTGCGCCTCGCCGATGGGTCGTCCCGAACGGCCGCCGGTGGCCTTCGCCGCAGTGGCCTCTCGGTGCGCGGGGGGCCAAGCCCGAGTACGCGGGCCGCTGCTGCCGCGCCGCGCGCGGCGACTGGCAAGCCGCGCACCCAAGAGTCACCTCTCTCCCAGGCCTTGGCATCCACCAATCGCTCCTCCTCCTCCTCCTCCTCCTCCTCCTCCTCCTCCTCCTCCTCCTCCTCCGTTCGCGGCCCCAGAGCTCCGGACCCCCTCCCCGGGGGGTACGATTGCCCCGGGGCCCGACAACGGGCCCCAGCAGGCCGAGAGCATGAAGAACGGCGGGGCCGAAACAAATCACATCGTCGGATATCCAGGAGGGCGCCTCCTGTGGCGGAGAAGCCTACGCACCTCACGCCGCCTTCCGTCCGCCATCGTAGGAGGAGGAGGAGGAGGAGGAGGAGGAGGAGGAGGAGGAGGAGGAGGAGGGGGAGGGGGAGGAGGGAGGAGGAGGAGGAGGAGGAGGAGGACGAGGAGGAGACCGGTCGCGGGAATTCTATCCCCCGCACTCGCCCCCGGGCGCCGTGCTGGGCCGCGCGCGCGCCCATCGGGGGGTCGGCCTCAGCACGCCGCCGCAACGGTGACTGCGCGTGTACGCCGTGAACAGTACCAAGGCCTACAGGTGGAAACTCAAGATACACAGGCGGAACCGAAAGATCTACAGGTTGAATCTAAGGATCCACTCGCACAGCCTCAAGATCTGCAGGCTGGGGGCTACGAGACCACCCACCTTGGTGGAGACATACGGGCGAGGATGCCCATGTGCGCGAACTGACGCTGCCCAAAAACGGAAAGGGTACAACGTCCGGCATGAGATACAGCCTCGACCCGACGACATCGTTGTCATTGCTACGCCGCCCTCGCGAGAGCGTCCAAACAGGACCTGCGTAACATGCAGCCTAACTGCGACAACGAGCTGCGCAACAGGCAGCCCAAGTACGAGAGCGAGCTGCGCAAAAGGCAGCCCAGGGGCGACAACCACCAGTACGACACCAAGCACGCCACTGAGACCGACACAAGGAACGACACGACCGAGCTGACCCAAGGGGTTACTATGTACGTCGTTGTGGAAGTGCCCGTGGGCAGCGGCCGCGCCGCCTACGACGGGTACGACTACGGCCGCGCGATAGCGCCTTGTACTCCTGCGGCCCCCACGACCACACTGGCCGCCAGAAGAAAGTGGAGCGTCACGATCTGGCAACCGACGATTCCGATTCGGATTTCAGGGACTACGAAGAGAGCGTGCCGTCTGAATTGCTACAGCCACCAGCAGGGCTGCGAGGACCACCAGGCGACCGCTGGGGGCCACGAGTTGCATTCGAGGACCTTAGCAGAGCCACGGGAGGCACCAGGAGAAGTGCCAGGATCACCTGCTGAGCTACAGAACCACCAGAAAGGCTACAAAAGCAACTCGCGCAACTAAGAGTGTCACAGGCTGAACTACGAGGACCACAAGAACCTGTGCTACAAGAGCCACTTGCTGTGTTACCTAGGCCACCTGCTGGGCTACCACAGCTTCATACAGATTTCCGAGGGCCACCAGCTGGACTGTGAGGGCAACAAGCAGAGCTACGAGGGCCTCAAGCACGACTACGAGGACTTCCAACAGAGCCACAAGAGACACCTGGAGAGGTACCAGGGCCGCCTGCTGAGCTACAAGAACCAGCAGCACAGCTGCAAAGGCAATTCGCGGAGCTACGAGGGCCACAGGCAGAACTACGAGGGCCACAGGTTGGGCTACGACCTGAGCTACGGGATCCACTTGCAGAGCTACCCAGGCCACATGCTGAGCTACCAGAGCTTCATACAGATCTACGAGGGCCACCAGCTGAACTACGAGGACTTCCAGCTGAGAAACGAGAAGCACCAGGAGAGGTACAAGGGCCACCAGCTGAGCTACCAGAACCACCAGCACAGCTACGAGGGCCACCGGCTTAGCTACGAGGACCACCGGCTGAATTACGAGGACTACAGGCAGTGAAACGAGGACCACATGCTGAGCTACAAGAGCTACGAGCACAGCCACGAGGGCAACCGGCTGAACTACGATGACCACAGTCTGTACTACGAAGATCACACGCAGGGCTACGAGGATCACGACCTGCCTTACGGAAATCATTGGCAAAGCTACATGGGCCACCTGCTGAGCTTCCAGAACCTCCAGCAGACCTACGAGGACCACCAGCTCAACTACGAGGACCACAAGCACAGCTTCGAGGGTCTCAATCAGGGTCACGAGGACCTCCAGCTGAGCCACGACGACCACCAGCAGGCGCAGGGTTTCAGCCCGAGCTACGAGGGCAACCAGCTGGGCCACCTGAGCTGGAGGGCCACGCGATGAGCTTCGAGGTCGGCAATCTGAACTGCGAGGACCACCAACTGGACTACGAGGGCCACCACCAAGGTTACAACGGCCACAAGCTGAATACGCCGAACACGAGCTGAGCAGAGCTGCCTCCGCCACCAGCTGATCCACCAGGTCCACGAGCGGAGCCTCCAGACCCCTAGACACAGCTACGAGGACCACCAGCCGATCGGCGGGGGCAACAAGCCGAGCTACGAGGGCCGCGAGCAGTACACCGTGAGCCACCAGCTAAGCTACGTGGGCCGCGAGAGAAGGGCGAGGAGAGCGACGAGCAGGACGAACCCATCTTTACCATGTACGCTGCGCTCCAGTGGCTGGACTTCCTCAGGGCCATGATCGTCGAAGGGCAGGCAATCACAGAGGCCTTCGCCATCAGGGCCATATCGAAACTCACGACCCCCGCGCACAACAAGCCCCACGACATGATGGTGCCCATAGAATTGAGCGGCGACCGCCACGACGAGGACGGGGACGCAATGGTTCATGCGCTGGGCCCTCCAGGAGGCATCTAATCGCTTTTGTCCGTCCGCGACCACTACGAGGCACACCTAAACAGGATACCTACAGGCCAGCGACCGATGCCTATCCCAGCCGCAGAACTTCTGCGACGACGGGAGGAAGACGAGTGCGACGACGAAGAGACGGAGAGCAACGTGGAGCACGAGGAAAGCAACGAGAAGAATAACACCTACTCAAACGAAGACAGGTGGAACGTTGAGTACTACGACCTGGCAAGCGACGGTTCTGGGGAGTCATGGCCAAACCAGCCTGCCTGAAGCCGGAGAAGGTTGCAAGTTACTACAGCGTTACGGACAAGGGTATGAGGTGCACGTACCACGTCTACAGCGTTACAGACAATGTACCCGTGCAGGGAAGGGGTACTACAAGTAATATGCGACTAGCAAGATGTCATTTCTACATCAGCTGCATCATGAGCGGCCGGGCCGCTCCTCACCTTTCCCCTCCTCTCGGGCCTCAGGATGGGCGATGTGAGTGCGAGCGGCCTCCTCTCCCCTCCCCCCGCTCCGGTAAATGGCGGGCCCTCCCCGGCCCTGGCCGCGGGCGCCGGCGGCGGGCGAGGGGCGCGGCTCCGAGGGTGACGCGCGATCGCGATGCGAGAGCGAGGAGGAGGAGGAGGAGGAGGAGGAGGAAGAGGAGGATGAGGAGGTTCACGATAGAAGATGGAAGGTGGATCATAGAAGAGACGAAAAAAAACAGGAGGAGGAGGAGGAGGAGGAGGAGGGAGGAGGAGGAGGAGGAGGAGAAGGAAAGAAGAAACCAAGGACGGATCAGGAGGATGAAGGAGGATGGAGGATGAAGCAGGATGGAGGAGGAGGGAGGAGGAGGAGGAGGAGGAAGGAGGAGGAGGAGGAGGAGGAGGAGGGAGGAGGTCTGAGTTGAGTCTCGAGACAGTCGTGCCGTCGGAGGCCTGGGCGGTCGCGCCTGCGCGCGGCCGAGCCCATGCCGAGGGGCCTCGGCCGCCCCGCGCGGGGCCGCGAGGGGCCGAGCGCCCCGGCCGGGCCTCCGGGCGCGGCCCGCCTCGCCGAGCTCCGCGCCCGGGGGCTGCAGCTGAAGGCCCTGGGGAGGCACGCGGAGGCGGAGGCCGCCCTCCGCGAGGCCTGGGCCGGGAGGGAGGCGCTGCTCGGGCCCGCCCACGCGGACGCCCGCCGTCGTGGGGGGGGGAGCGGGTCCCGAGGGGAGCGGGTCCTATTATATAGGGCGTCTTCGCTGCCTGGGGCTCTCCCGGGGCCGCCCGCGGGCCCCGGGGCCGTCCGATCGGAGGCGGGCTCGGGGACGAGGAGCTGGTCCGGGGGAGGGGGGGGGGAAGGCCCCGCGGGTCCAGAGCCCGTTTCCCGCAGGGCCCGCCTCCCCCGCGCGGAGGACGCGCTCGCCTCCCTGGGTGACCTCGCGGTGCTTCTCAAGGCTCGCGCCGCAAAGGAGTCTCCGATGCGAATGGGTGCGTGGTTGCTGTCGGCCTCCTCCCGCCTCCTCGCGCCGTGGGGACCTACGATCATTGTCAGCCTCTGGAGGCCCTCATCGGGCCCCGGGAGCGTTAAAAACGACTCGGGACGAAAATTTGGTCCCGGGGAAGGGGTCCAGACCTCCAGAGGTCCAGATTGTGAAGAAGAAATGTGAAGAAGAAAGAAGAAGAAGAAGAAGAAGAAGAAGAAAAAGAAGAAGAAAGAAGAAGAAGAAGAAGAAGAACCCCCCCCCCCAAAAAAAAATACGCCGTCGAAGTTCTGGGTCAGAGACCCTTGCTGGTCCCTGGGGTGTTCAAACGGTTTGGGATGAGAAGCTCGTCCTTGGGAAGGGGGCCAGACCTCTAGAGGTCCAGACTGTGAAGAAGAAGAAGAAGGAGAAGAAGAAGAACCCCCCAACAAAAATCGACGTCGAAGTTCTGGGTCAGAGACCCTTGCTGGTCCCTGGGGTGTTCAAGAAACGGTTCGGGATGAGAAGCTCGTCCTTGGGTAAGGGGCCCGGACCTATGGGGAGGCACGTTGTGAAAGGAAAAAAACATTGTGTCGGATGCCTGGGCATCGATGATCTTCAGGACGCGTGTTGCAGTCAACCCGCAGGGTAAGGCTACCCTTGCATCCTTCCCCTTCGGCCCATCCTTGGCCGCTTTCGTTGCTCGCGCCCCGCCCGCAGAGTGTCGACACGGCCTTCCAAGGCCCTTGCATCCCTATCGTGCATCCTCACAGTATTTGGGTCGACTGTAGCCCAAGTGCGCGCCTACCCCGCTCCGCCGACAGCACGCAGCCTGCGTCCGCCCTCCTGGGACCGCCTGTGTCGTTTTGGAGGGCCTCGGTGGACAAGCACACACTGGCGCTAACACACGCCCTGAAGATCATCGGAAGGTGGCCGGGAAGCCCTCGGAGGCCGAGGGGCTGTTCCGCAAGCTGCTGGCCCACAAGGAGCAGGCGCTCGGCCCGGCCAGCCCGGGCGCGCTGGTGTCTGCAGGGCATCTCGCCGGGGTCCTGCGGGACTTGGGGCGCCTGCCCGAGGCCGAGGCGCTGTACAGGCGCATCTGCGAAGGCAAGCGAGCGTCGCTCGGGCAGGATCACCCCAGCACGCTGAGCTCCATGGACGATCTCTCCAGCACCCTGCAGGCTCAGGGAAGGTACTCCGAGGCGGAGCCGCTGCTGCGTGGAGTAGTGAGCAGCAGCCGGGAGAAGCTCGGCCACAATCACCCGGACACGTTGGCCTGTTCGGAGAGCTTGGCCGGGTTGCTATGGGCGTCTGGCAAGCAGAAAGAGGCAATGGTTGTTTATCAGGCGGTTCTGCAAGGCAGCGAGGTAACCTGGGGAGTCAACCACCCGCACACGCTCAGCGTGATCGACAAGTTCGCGTCTGCTCTCCAGCACGTTGGCAACCTCCAGGAGGCCCTGACCCTGCGGCATCGTTGCCTGGACAGCCGTGACTCGTCCCTCGGCGAGAGGCACCCCGAGACCCTCGCCTCCGTCGGCGCCCTGGCGAAGCTGTACGGCGAGATGGGCAACCATGACGAGGCGCAGAGGCTGATGAGGCGCGCTGCGATGGGGAGGGAAGAGGCTCTTGGCCCCAGCCACCGTGACACCCTGACCAGCCTGGACGACCTGGCAGGGCTGCTGAGCTTGCTCGGCAAGCACCCTGAGGCCAAGCTGCTGCTCCGCTGCGTGCTCGACCGCTGCGAGGCGTCCCTGGGCCCGGACCACCTGGAGACCCTGCGGGCAGCCGAGAGGCTCGCGGCGCTGCTGCACACTGCGGGAGACCTGGCGGGTGCGGAGAAGCTCTACTGGCGCACCCTCGAGGGCAGGGAGGATCGGGCGAAGAAAACTGTACACGCGCATCGGTTCTGATCAGGCCCACCCTTGGGGCCCACGATCGGTGCGTCTGCCTCCCCTGCCAAGCCAGGGGGGCGTGTGCGATCCTGGGCCCAGGACGGGCCTGGCCAGGATCGGTGCACGTGCATCGTTCTCCTCCTTGTGGAGGAGACGCTTGGGCTGGATCATGCTGACACCGCCGCCACGCTGCAGAGCCTCGTCGGACTCCTCGGCGCCCTGGGAAAGCACGCGGAGGCCGGCCGCCTGGCACAGCGCGCCCCGGCGCGGCCGACACTGCGCACGCCCGCTCGGCACGCGCGGCGCCGGGACGCGGAGCCGCCCCGCGGCGCCCTCGCCCGGGCGCGGTCCCCGCCGGACTCCACCGAGGAGCCCGCCGCAGGTGCGGCGGCTGGGCGCTGCGAGGAGGCCCGCGCGGCGCAGCCTGGGCAGCCGCCCCAGGGCGCCCGGGCGCGGTCCCCGCCGGACTCCACCGAGGAGCCCGCCGCAGGTGCGGCGGCTGGGCGCTGCGGGGAGTCCCGCGCGGCGCAGCCTGGGCAGCCGCCCCAGGGCGCCCGGGCGCGGTCCCCGCGGGACTCCACCGAGGAGCCCGCCGCAGATGAGGCGGCTGGGCGCTGCGAGGAGGCCCGCGCGGCGCAGCCACGGCCCTCCAAGAAGAGCGACAGGGAGGGCGAAGGCGCGCTGAGCTCCCGGCAGGCGGCCATGTCGACCTTCTCGGCGGCGCTGCCCCGGTTCGTGGCGGGCTTCTTCGCGGGGCACCCCTCGGCGCGGCCACAAGCTGCCCCGCTGTTGGCGCCGACGGGCGCGTGTCAGCTTGAAAGCACCTCCACTGGGCAGGAGGGTCGGGTGGCCTCGCCACGACCGGCGATGCCACAGAGCGTCAGGAGCTCGGCGGGTTCGGAAGAGGGTCTGGCGGCCTCGCCGCGGTCGGCGATGCAGGATGGCAGCGTCCAGAGCGGGGACGGCCCCGCGGAGACCCGCGCAGCCGTAGCGGCGCCGCTGGGCAGCGCACGGAGCTCGAAGGGCCCCGCGGACGGCCAGGCGGCCGCGGCGCCGCCGCCGCTCAGCGGCCGGAGCGAGAAGTCAGCGCTGCAGAAGCTGTGTGAGGCATCGGCGCGGCGGCCCCAGCAGCAAGAGCAGGCACCGTTGGCCCTGGAGCCGGCCCCGGGAGGCCGAGGGGGCGACGAGACTGCGCGGCGCAAGCAGGCGCGCGAGGAGCAGGAGTCGCGCCTGCAAGAGCTCTCGGAGGAGGCCCGCGGGTCCTCAGAGCGTGTGTCGGCCCAGTGTGCCGCGGTGCCGCTCGTGGCTCGCGCCGTGCACGAGCCAAGGCGGGAGGTTCTGGGCAGCCGTCGGCCTCAGGGGGCCCCCGTGCCGGCCCCGGGGGGGGCTGCCAAAGGACGACTCGGGATGAGAGGCTGGTCCTCGGGCTGAGAGGTCCGGGCCTCTGGGGAGCCACGCCGTTGAAAGAGACGCGACGTCGGAGGCCCAGGCATCGATGATCCTCGGGGCGCGCCTCGGCCCAGGTGTGCGCTTGCAGCCGGGGCCCTGCAGAAGGAACCCTTTTCGCTGGGGAGGGGCTCGGTGTTCCTTGATGGTTCTACAGTTTGCCTGTTGTTTTCCTGAGGTTTTCCATGGGAAATCGAAGTTCAACTCATGGGAGAAAGGGGCCCCGTTCCTTATTGAGGTTCCTTAGGTCAACGCCACGACTGTACCCCGCTCGGCTCCGCCGACAGCACGCAGCCTGCGCGGGCCCTCGCTGCACCGGCCGCGTCGTGTTGGAGGGCCCCGGTGGGCCAAAGCGCACGCTGGCGCCCCAGCACGCGCTCCCTGACAGCCGCCGGTGTGTGCTTCGATCCGCGGCCTCGGAAGTCCCGACCCCTTCCCCCTGGGGGGGGCAGGTGTTCGTCCCGGGTCAGCTCTGGACGGCCCCGCGGCCCGAAAGCGGCCTCTGAGGGCCGAGATCGATAGCACAATGCTGGCTGGACGAGCCTGGCGAAGGACCCATCCATATGGCAGGCGCGAGTACCGCAAGACGCGTGGAAACTGAGGAAGCGAATGACCAGGGCGCGGATGAAAGTGACGAAGCGATGATGTTGATGGGGTCACGGAGGTCAGCCGTAACGGTTTGCAGATGGATGTATCTAGTTACGGTTGGTTTGCGCATTTGTCGGCGTGGCTTGGTCTCGCGCCTTTCGGTGGAGCTCCCGGGGGGGGGGGGGCACGAAACGCGTGAGGGGTGTGCCGAAATGGCTACAGTCACGCGTGCGAGCCCTGCCACGGGTGCTTTCGGCGGAGCTCTCCATGGGGCCCCGATCCTCGTGAGAGGTGTGCCGAAATTGGCGCAGTCGTGCATGCGAACCCTGCCAATAGGGCCCACGGTGGAGCTCCCTACGGGGCCACGATCCTCGTGAGGAGTGTGCCGAAATAAACGCAGCCACGCATGCGAATCCTGCCACTAGGGCCTTCGGCAGAGCTCCCTTTGGCGCCACGATCCTTGTGAGGGGTGTGCCGAAGTGGGCGCAGCCACGCATGCGAACCATGCCACTAGTGACTCGGCGGGGCTCCCCATGGGGCCAGGATCCTTGGGCGTAGTCATGCATGCGAACCCTGCCACTGGGGCCTTCGATGGAGCTTCCTGTGGAGCCACGATCCTCGTGAGGGGTGTGCCGAAACGGGCGCAGTCGTGCATGCGAATCCTGCGACTGGGGCCTTAGGTGGAGCTGCCTATGGCGCCACGGAGCGCCACGGTCCTCGTGAGGGGTGTGACGAAATGGGCGCAGTTGCGCATGCGAGTCCTGCCACTGGGGCCTTCGGCGGAGCTCCCTGTGGCGCCACGATCCTCTTGAGAGGTGTGCCGAAATGGGCGCAGCCACGCATGCGAACCCTGCCAATAGGGCCCACGGTGGAGCTCCCGAAGGGCCAGGATCCTCATGAGGGACGTGACGAAGTGGGCGCAGTCGCGCATGCGAACAGGAGGAGCAGCAGGCGAGGTGGGGAATTGAGCTCCTCCAAAAAACGAGGACCCAACACAGGAGGGCCAGGAAAAAATCTGACCGTCGGAACTCCTGGGCCCAGAGAGGGCCACAGCGAGGTGCGCCGGCTGGAGAGGCAGGCGGCCGAGGTCCGGGCGGGCCTCGCCGCCACGGAGCGCGAGCGCCAGAGGGAGGAGGAGGCGCGGGCGCTGACGCTCCGGAGGGAGGAGGAGCACCTGCAGCGGGTCCGGGAGGACCGGGCCGGGCGGGAGCTGCGCCGCCCCTCGCCGCGCCCAGCGGAGGGCCCCCTCTGCCTCGGCGTCGAGGGCGCGGCCGCCCCCCTGCGGCCCGGCTGACCCCGACAGGCCACGGCGCCGGCCACGGCGGCCGCGGCCTTTCGCGCGGTCGCTTCGCGCGCCGCCCGGGGCCACGCGCCCTCGGGCCCGCCGGGCGGGTCGGCGCGGCGCGCAGAGCCTCGCGCAGCGCCTCGCGCGGCGCCTCGGCGCGGCGCCTCGAGCCGGGCGGGCCGCGTCCGGTCCCGCGTCGGGGCGTGCACGCGGTGCGGTCGGCTCGGCGGCGTCGCGGTCGGTGGCGCTCGCGGTGCGGTTCGGTGCGGTCGGCTGCCGGGTCGTCGCCGTGCCGCTGCGCCCTGCTGGGTCGGGTTCGGTCGGTGTCGGTTTTCCGCTGCCGGTCCGGTCGGTAATCTCTCGGTTCCCCGCCGAGGGCGAGGAAGCTGCACGAGCACGCAATCTGTCGGAGGCCCGCTCGGATCACCCTCGTCGGCGCGGGGACCCCCGCCCAGTGGCGCGCGGGGGGCCCCGCGCCCACCGGGGAGATAGCCACGCGGGCCTCCGACAGCCTGCCCGCGCCGCTCCCTCTCCCTCCTCTCGAGGAGGTCGAGAAGCAGCGCGAGCTGTGCCGCCAGGAGGAGGAGGACCGGGGGCAGCGACAAGGGGGGCGACTGGCCCAGCGGGCCCAGACCCCCGACGTCATGATTTTTTCATGACGCGACCCCCAGAGGTCCCGACCCCTTCCCTGGGACCGGTTTTTCATCCTGAGTCGTTTTTTGATGGTCCCGAGGCCCGGCGAGGGCCCCCGGAGGCCGAAAATAGCAAAAACCTCCCGTCGTGATTTTTTCATGATCCGAGGGGGTCTGGGGGGGGGAGGCCTCGACCCCCCCCACACGTCTTTCATTCCTCCGCGCCAGTCGGGGCCCGGGCGACCCCCCCCCCCCCCGAGCGTGCGGCTCCGCCGTCGAGGGCACGCCGCCGCTCTGTCGGCGGCGCCTCGCCGCTTCGGGGTCGACGCTCCCCCCCCCAAAGCCAGCCCATGACATCCGCCGATGCGACGTCTCAATCCGCGGCCCCAGGGGCTCCGACCCCTTCCCTGGGGGTAGTTGTTCGTCCCATGGGTCCGTTCTATCTGGTCCCGGGGCCCGGCGCAGCGGGCCCGAGTAGCCGAGACCAAAGAGAAAGCAGCCGGATTGGAAGGATCAGATCGTCGGAGGTCGGGGTACCGGTCCACCCATCGGAGGAGGCGAAGCAGCGCGTCGCTGAGCTGGAGCGGCAGCGCGAGGACGACGCCTGGAGGCGGCACGAGAGCCGCGTGCGTCAGGACGCGGAGCGACGCCAGCAGGAGCAGCGGGCCGCCGCGGCGGCCGAGCAGGCCGCGGCCCGCGAGCGCGAGGCGCAGGAGACTACTTTAGCGAACGGAGGGCGGGGTTTTCTCTTGCTTCTTCTCTTCCTCCTCCTCCTCCTCCTCCTCCTCCTCCGCCTCCTCCTCCTCCTCCTCCTCCTCCTCCTCCTCCTCCTCCCTCCCTCCTCCTCCCTCCCTCCCTCCTCCCTCCCACCCTCCCTCCCTCCCTCCCTCCCTCCTCCTCCTCCTCCTCCCTCCTCCTCCTCCTCCTCCTCCTCCTCCTCCTCCTCGTCCTCCTGCCCCTCCTCCTTACGGTGCTAGTGATAGCACCCCCGCCTGCCAGGGGTGCAGGAGACGGGCCGACAGCACGACACGGAGCGCAAGCAGGACAAGGAACATACTAATCACGAGGCGATGAGCAAGCTGATGCCTTCACACGAACGCTACTGGATCTCTTTGACTTCGCCAATCGCAAAAGACGAGGGCATTCCCGCCGAGAGGAAGAGGAAGTTGATGAAGAAGAAGACCTTGGTGGCTACAGTTCTCAGTGTTCTTCGGTGACGGGCCAAGTGCTAACGTGTTTTCAGAATAAGTGCCCTCGCCAGGAGCAGTGGACCGAGGATCGAGGATCGTTAGCGTATCAATATGGTAGTGGTGCCAGAGCTGCGGGCAGCACAGACGGAGGCGATGGCCGCCATCGCGGCCAATCCACATGTGGAGGTGAAAACGGAACCGCCGACCAGGGGTTCGAACGTGCGCTCCGTGGTGAGCACGCTGGTGGAGATGGGGGAGTTAGCGAACCCGTCCCAGGGTTCGTGAGGCAATCGCTGTCGCCGCTCGCTGCTTCTGCCTGCTGCAGTGCATCGCCTGCCTCTCCCCTTCCCTAGAGGCTTTCGTCGTACCCCTCCTCTTCCTCCCCTCCTCCTTCAGCGAGAGCAGTCGGCCACACCCTGAGAGGTCTGGTTCCTCATGAGATATGCTTGCTGTGTCTGGTTGCCGTGTCGGGATGGAGGGTGGCTCTGATTACAGTCAGGGCCCTGAAGAAGGAACCCTTTTCGTTGGGGAGGGGCTCCGCGTCCCTTAAGTGTTTCGAAGCTTGCCTCAGGTTTTCCTTATGTCTTCGATAGGAAATCGAAGTTTAGTTTTATGGGAAAAAAGGGGCCTCGTTCCTTATTTAGGGTTCCTTAGGTCAACGCCCCGACTGTACGATCGGAGTGCCCCGCTGTCCGGAGGTGGTGAGATTGCGCGCTTCTCGGCCACCCCGCGACATACACCTCAGGGTGCCGGCGCGTCGCCTGTGGTTGTCTTGAGGAGCTTTTTGCCAGCAGGCCTACACGCTGGAATCCACTGGTCCTTGGGGGCTCAAATTTCTTCGGCCAGTGAGCAGACCGCGACCAGATGACCCATCACTAATGAATCAGAGTCTTGTTGCGAGTCGGCATGCAGGGGACACCCTGGGGTAGAACAGAAGATCCTCCTCCTCCTCCTCCTCCTCCTCCTCCTCATCATCATCATCCTCCTCCTCCTCCTCCTCCTCCTCCTCTTCCCCCTTCTCCCCCTCCTCCTCCCCCTCCTCCTCCTCCTCATCCTCCTCATCTTCATCCTCATCATCATCCTTCTCCTCCTCCTACTCATCCTCCTCATCCTCATCCTCCTCCTCGTATAATAATAATAATAATAGCGGACGGAGGGCGGCGTGAGGTGCGCAGGTTTCGCCGCCATCGGAGGCGCCCTCCCGGATCTCCGACCATGTGACTTGTTCAATCCCGCTGGGCCGTTCATCGGGGCCACGGGACCATCAAAAACGGATCCGGGGCGGAAAACCACCCACCGGGGAAGGGTTCGGGAGCTCTTGGGCCGCGGCTTGAAAAATCGCATCGGCAGTTGCCAGGGAAGCGGCATGAGGTGTGCGCGCTTCTCCGCCACTGGGGGCGCCCTTGCCCCAGGGCGGCTGGGAGACCGAGACGCTCAAGGTGAAGGACGTTCTCGTCGGTTCTCGGCGGTCTTCCAGCCTCGAGGTGCCCTCCAGCGGCTGCGCCTCGCCGAGAGCGCCCCAGGAGTGCCCGGATCGTCTCGAACGGCCGCGGGAGACTTTGAGTCATGGGCCCCAGAAACGGCTGCGCCGCGCTGCCGGCGGCGGCGGGGGCCCACCTCCGACGTCACGGCCGGGCACGTCCGCTCGGCATGCCGCGCTGCCGGTTCTGATCCACCACGCTTCGGCGCGGCACGGCAGCCACGTCCCAGCCCCCAAAAGTCACCGTCCCGAGGTTTCCCCAGCCTCCACCCGCGCGGAGCGGAGCGGCACGCCATCCGCTGGCAGGGCGCAGCGTTTCCCGGGGAGCCGCCGCCGCGACGCGCTAAGCGAACGTTCCTGACCGTTTACCCCGGCGTGTCACCGCAATCCGGAGGGTATAATCGGGGGCCCCCAAACGGGGTGGTGACCACACCGTGTGGTGAGTCGGTGGGGGTTCGGGGTCACCGCACGGTTTTGGGATTTGGGTCGTTCTCCGAGGATGTCTCGGGCGGTTGGGACCTCCAGCGTCCCAAAACCGCCTCAGAAATCGTGGGGGGTAGGGGCAGGGTTCGCATCTGGCCCCCTATCTGTGTTCTACGCATTGTGAGCCCGGACCTCCGACGTCGGGATTTGCTTCACGACGTGGCTCCCCCGAGGTCTGGACCCACTGCCAGGGACTGGCTTCTCGCCCCGAGCCGTTGTCTGATGGCCCCGGGGCTCGGTTGAAGAGCCCCACGGAGTCCGAAACGTATACAGTCAGGGCGCTGGAGAAGGAACCCTTCTCGTTGGGGAGGGGCTCGGTGTTCCTTGATTGTTGTACAGTTTGGCTCGGGTTTTCCTGAGGTCTTCGATGGGAAATCGAAGTTCAACTTATGGGAAAGAGGGGCCCTGCTCCTTATTCAGGGTTCCTCAGGTCAACGCCCCGACTGTAGGAAGCAGCAGTTCCCTTGTCTTCGTTACCGCACGAGGACGGAGGATTGCAAAAAAAACCTTGAACGAAGGATTGCAAAAACGAAGGATTGCAAAAAAAACCTTCGTGCAAAAACGAGTTTTTTGTGCAATCCTTGGTTTTTTTTTGCAATCCTTCGTTCAAGGGGGGGCGTCCTGGCCAGAATCTCGAGGCGGAGGCAGCCGTGGCGACGGGAAGCCCCCCCCTTTCGGGACCCGGAATCAGGCGACCAAGGCCCAGCAGCTTCAGTCACCGGACTTCGGCCCTCGATCCTGGATCTCCATCTTCTTGGTATGCTTCAGGAGGGGGAGGAAAAAAGAAAAACAACAAAAATAATAAAAATAATCATAATAAGAAAGAGAAGAAGAAAAACACAAGCAATCGTCGATCCCCAGGAAGATACGGAAACTATGGGAGGTGGGGTGGAAGACAGAAACCCAGAAAACATGGGAATAAATGGGGAATCCTGTCATTTGTGTGTATCCCTGGAGGAGGAGGAGGAGGAGGAGGAGGAGGAAGAGGAGGAGGAGGAGGAGGAGGAGGAGGGGGAGGAGGAGGAGGAGGAGGAGGAGGAGGAGGAGGAGGAGGAGGAGGAGGAGGGCCCCATTCAGTGCTGCACCCGCCCTCGCAAAGGAGCAGAGGCTCCAGGACGCCGAGCGGCAGGCACGCGAGCGCGAGGCGGCCGCGCGGGAGCTGCGCGCCCGCGAGGAGGCCGCGAGGGTGCAGCGCCTGCGCGAGGACCGAGGACAAAGTATGTACGGTAGGTTCGCGTCGTGTCGACCGGCGGCGACCCCGCCGCCGACGTTCACGGTTGAACGCCGACGGCGGCCCAGAATCGGTCGATGTTGAACGATCGGACGTTGCGGAGACGGCCGATCGTTCAAGGTTGAACGATCCAGCGCGGTGTCAGGAACCAACGCCAGGGTCGACACGGCACGAACCTGCAGTAGCAGCACAGGCATGAGCTTCCTCCTCCTCTCCTCCTCCTCCTCCTCCTCCTCCTCCTCCTCCTCCTCCTCGTCATCATCATCAGCAGCATCATCATCATCATCCTCATCATCATCAGCATCAGCATCAGCATCAGCATCAGCATCATCATCATCATCATCATCATCATCATCATCATCATCATCATCATCATCATCATTATCATCATCAGCATCAGCATCATCATCATGGTTCCTCCTCCGTCTCGCTCCTCTTCTTCCTCGCTCCTCCTCCTCCTCCTCCTCCTCCTCCTCCTCCTCCTCCTCCTCCTCCTCCTCCTCCTCCTCCTGCACCTCCGCCTCCTCCTCCTCCGCCTCCGCTTTTTCCTCTCCCGAACAAAGAAGCACAAAACTGCACAGGCACAAGCTGTCGGCTGCCCGCGCGCGGACTTCTCGAGTCGGCGCCGGGTTCCCCTGCCCGGCCAGGGGGGGCCCAAGAAATCCGCGCTGGCTTCCGAAAGCTTCTGTTCATCGAGTGTCCTTCGGCCCACCCCGCCGACGCGCCCGGGTTGTACAGTCGGGGCGCTGAAGAAGAAACCTTTTTCGTTGGGGAGGGGCTCGGTGTTCCTTGATTGGTGTACAGTGTGCCTTGGGCTTTCCTTTCGTTTGCCATGGGAAATCAAAACTTAACGCATGGGAGCAAGGGGCCTCGTTCCTTATTTAGGGTTCCTGAGGTCAACGCCCCGACTGTACATCAGTGGCCTCCTAGATGCCTGTTGGTTTTTCTTGGGCAGCCGATCGATCTGTAACTCGAAGGGGGGGAAGGCAGAGGGGGTGCTGGCCATCTAGAAGGCTCGGGGGGCGTCTGGCCTTCTGGGAGGTGTTTTCTAAGCTCTCTCCCACGTCACAAAGGGCTTCCCAGAAGGCCAGGGGGGCTGTCACTGAGAAGCCCCGCCGCCTTCCGAGAAGGCTTGCGCCCCCTCGCTTCTCCCATCGGCGCGCCACCGAACGAAGGAACTGGATGCCGAGGGACAGGGTTGCTGAGATGCGTCGCTGTTTCTGGGCACCGTGGGCACTCCCCAGGCCCCGGGGCCGCCAAGGGGCGGCTCGGGAGGAAGAGCTGGCCCCAGGGCGCGGCCCCCAGGGTCCAGGAGCCGCTTCCCCCCGTACTCGACTCCATCCGCATATTTTCTAGGCCTCCCGGATGGGGTCGGAGGATCGCGCCGCATCGCCGATGCATCGGCGATGCGGCGCGATCCTCCGACCCCATATATATATATATATATATATATATATATATATATATATTCGGACCCCATCGGGGAGGCCTCTACATTTTCAGAACCCCTAACATTCATAGCATAACTGAAGACGTGGCCACTCTTAGGTCCCGGTCTTTCCTTCAGGGACAATAAATCTGGGCGGTCTGGTTTGGTGCACCTGCAGAAAAGACGCCCCCCTCATGTTTTGGGCCCTGCTGATTTAGGACCCCTCCCACGGGCTAAGTCAGGGGTCCCTGGCATTACGAATCCTACTTCCGTTGCCCAGGAGCTCCGTCCACCGCCGAGTCTTCTGTGATCTCCCCCGCTTCTTCCCCAGAGGAGCAGGAGCGGCTGGCCCAGGCCGCCCGCGCGGCCGAGGAGGCGCGCGAGCGGCTGCGGGAAGAGCGGAGGCGCCAGGCCGAGGCGGAGGAGGCGCGCAAGGCACGGGGCCGGACGAGCGGGGGAGGGGGCCTTGGCAGATCGGGCGGGTGGTGAGTGAGAGGGGGACCTGAACGTTGGGTGAAGAAAGGACCCCCAAAGGGGCCTTTTGGGGCCCCTTTTGGAGTCAGCAGTGGCCTAGAAGGGGCCCTGAAGGGCCCTCTTTGGGGCCCTTCTGCTCCCCCCTCCATTCAGGTCACCCCCCATTACTTACCACCCGCTCGAGCAGAGGGCGGGGGCCGAATGGTCGTACACCATCCCCAGGGGCGTGGCTGAAGCGTGATTCCGCGACGCGGATTCTTGTTGTTGTTGTTGTTGTTGTTTTGTTGTTGTCGTCGTGCACTCCGCGACACACCCGCCACACACCCGCGACACACCCCGCGACACACCCCGCGACACACCCTGCGACCCACCCGGGACCCACCCGGGACCCACCCACGTTACCTTGACGGGAAAATCGGCGCTTGCAGCGGGCTGGAGGTGTGATGTGTAAACAACCGGCGCTCGCGGCGGGCTTCTTGAGAGCATCGCAGATTGTCGACAACTCCGCCGCCCCCCCACTCTTATCTGCAACTGCGGAGGCCATGGGGAGCCAGGCCTCTCACATGGGGTCGGAATATCGCGCCGAATCGCCGAAGCATCGGCGATGCCGCTAGATGTGGAGCCCGAGTTTCTCCACGCAGATGTCGCCGACGCGTTCGCGATGCATCAGCGATACATTGAGGATGGGGCGCGATCGTGGGACCCATTTTTGGAAGGCCTCCAGTATGGGAAAGGGAGAGCACAGTAGACGCAGCAAATCAAGGAAGCGCAAACATGGAGCAAGGCGCGTGGACTGGCGAAGGGTCTCGCTTTCGTGCAAAATGTGCGCGCGCCGTCGCCAGATGCGACTGCACTGGCATCATGCTTCGGGGGGGGGGGGGGGATTGCCGCCTTGCGCTCGCTTGCCAGATCCACGGATCTGGAATCGTGCCTGGTCAAATAAGATTTAGGACGGGAGGGTGCAGTGGGGGGGGCAGGAAGTGTAGGGTTGGGGAAAAGGGGGGCACAGGAGAGATTAGGGAAAGTGGGGGGGTCGGATTCTCGATGTTTTCGGACTCTTTCCTCGTTCAGACACTTTCGATTGCTCTCGGCGGTTTTCCAGCCTCGGGATGCTCTCCAGCAGCTGCGCCTCGCCGAGAGCGTCCCAGGGTGACCAAACCGTCCCGAACGACCGCCAGATACCCGGCCAATGATCCAAAGACCAGGCGACAAGGACCACTTGGGTGGGACGCGAACAGGGGAATAAGGAGAGGGGGGACGAAATCTGCCGCGCGCAGCTGGTTTCGGCCCCGCCGCCAGGCGCTTTCCTTCGATACAGTCGCGGGCCTGAAGAAGGAACCCTCTTCGTTGGGCAGGGGCTCCGTGTTCCTTAATTGTTTCGCAGCTTGCCTTAGGTTTTCCTTTGGTTTTCGATATGAAATCGAAGTTTAGCTTATTGAAAACAGGGGCCTCGTTCCTTATTTAGGCTTCCTTGGGTCAGCGCCCCGACTGTACATGAGCGCCTCCTGTCGCCAGGCGGGGAAGCCAGGGCCCACTTCGATCCTGTCGATCCTTGTCGCTGTCAAGTCTCGACGGCTCGATCTCCGGTGCCGTTCCGGCTCCTCTCGGCGATCCGGTGTGGCCCGATAGGCTCGCGCGGAGTTGCTGTGTGTGTTGTGGCGCAGCTGCTCCGATGCCATTTTGGCCTCCATGGCCGACGCAGCCCGACCCGACGCGCACTCCTCGGGGGCGGACAGAACCCCCAACAGTGACACGTCGATTAGTGAATCGTCCGTTTTCGGTTCTCGAGAGGGCGCCGCGGCCGTCATTTTCCAGGCCTGCGCCCGCCAGGTTTGGGCCTCAGGTCGTTTTCACGAAACCACGTTTTACTGAAGGGAGGTCTGTCCATCCCCCAATTCCGAGATTCGAGGTGGCTCCCCGATTCGATGTTCATGAACCCTGCGAGGCCGAGGAAGAGAGGTCGCGGCAGGAGGATCGACAAACAGCAAACGACAAGAACGTACACACCTTCGGACAGAGGTCCGCGCGGATGTTTCTCGGGTGGGCGTTGGACCCCCCCCCGCGGCGCCTCTGGCGCCGCCCCTGGCGCGGGATCCGTGCGCCAGGGGAGGGGGCCCATCCCCGACCCAGGACAGCCGCTCGGGCCTCCACAGGTGCAGTGGGGGCCCATGCCAAGAAGCACCCTCTGCTTGTCTCCAGGGTGCCCTGGGTTTTGTCGTGGGTCTCGATGGTGTTGCCATGGAAAGCGCGACGTTCTCGCGCCAAAAACCAAAAAATGGATGCCCCAGGGCCTCGGGGCTGGGCTTCCTGGTGGCAGGTCTCTCGTGGCCGGGCCCCTGCTGTGTGTGCGCGCTCGTGCCGCCGTGTTCTGCTGCTCCCTCTGGAGGAGGCGGCGTGGAGGCGGCGGGAGGCGGACATGGTGCGGGCGCAGCAGGAGGAGGAGGCCTGGAGCCGGCACCAGGCCAAGATCCGCCGGGAGGAGCAGGAGGCGGAGGCCGCACGGAGGCGCCAGGAGGAGGCGCGGGCGCGCGCCGAGGAGGATCCGGGGCGGCGATATAAGGGGGGGGGATGGGCTCAGGGGGGGGGGCGCATCGATTCCCAATCGCACACTCGTCGCCGATACAGGCCCGATGGCCCGCTCCGCCAAGGAGCGCGCGGATTCGCCGCTGGGGGCCGATCGGCGATCTGTCGGCGATGGATCGCCGATTCCAGGTCGATGTTGCCCCCCTTCCTGAGCTGGTCCCCCCCCTATCTCAGGCGACAAACACAACACAGACACAAAAGATCGATGGGAAGTGGAGCGGAAAACGGAACTCCAGAAAATATTGAACATTGGGGAATCTTGGGATGGTGTCTATTCACTTGTGTGCCCCTGGGCCCATGGACTACCTTTGACCCTGAGAGGAGGCGCGGGCGCGGGCGCGCGCCGAGGAGGAGGCGCGGGCGCGGGCGCGCGCCGAGGAGGAGGCGCGGGCGCGGGCGCGCGCCGAGGAGGAGGCGCGGGCGCGGGCGCGCGCCGAGGAGGAGGCGCGGGCGCGGGCGCGCGCCGAGGAGGCCCAGCGCGAGGCGGCGCAGCGGCGGCAGCGGCGCGAGGCGCAGGAGCGGGCCCGGGGCGAGGCCGAGCGGGCGCGGGCCGCCCGGCAGGGCCCGCCGCAGCGCGCCGAGGGGCTGGAGCGCGCCCTGCGGGCCGAGGCGGCGATGCGGCCGCCGAGCGCGCTGGCGGCGGCGCCGCAGGGGCAGCCCGCGGCGGCGCCCCGGGGCGGCGGGGACGCCCTGGGCCCCCCGGCGGGGGAGGGCGCAGGCGCACGCGCGGAGGACTCGGAGGACGAGGACTACGAGGACCCCGAGGACTGGGTCGCCTCCCGCCGGCGCGAGGCGGAGGAGCAGCGGAGGCGCCAGGCGGAGCTCCTGCAGGCGCAGCAGCGGCGCGCGGCGGCGGCCGCGCGGAAGCAGGAGCCGCGGCAGGAGGCGGAGGCCGCGCGGCAGCCCGATCCGCGGCAGGCGGCGGAGGCCGCTCGGCAGCAGGCTGAGCCCCCCGCGCCGCCGGGCACGCCGCAGGAGGCCACGCCACAGGAGGCGCTGAGGATCTCGGAGGAGGTTCGCCAGAGCCCCGCGGTCGCCGGCTGGCGGCAGGCGGAGGAGGAGCTGCAGAGGCAGGTGCGGGCGCGGGCGGAGGAGGAGGCCCGCGTGAGGCGGCAGGAGGAGGCGAGGCGGCAGGAGATCGTGGCGAGGCGGCGCAGGGAGGAGGCGGAGCGCGGCCTGGAGCAACTGCAGGAGCATGCGCAGAAGAACCTGCACGAGGCCAGGGCCAAGCACGACCGCGAGCTGTCCATGCAGCAGCTGAAGGAGTCCGAGGAGGACGAGGACGAGCAGAGCACGGCGGGCCACTCCGAGGGCTCCCGCCGCAGCTCCGGGCGCCAGAGCACCGCGGGCCGTGCCGAGGAGGCGCCCCAGACGGAGCCGCCGTCTGAGGCCCCTGGGGCGGAGCCGCCAGAGGCGCAGCCAGAAGCGGCGGACGGGCGCAGGGCAGGCGGGAGAGGCGCCGGCTGGTCCCTGCCTTCCAAGGTGCCGCGGGGCGGACACGCGCTCTCGTGGATCTCGCGCGGCCGCTCGGCGCTGAAGACCCAGACCAAGTCGCAGCCCTGCAACGACTGGGGCGGGAGCGCCCGGGGCAGCCCGACGGCGGCGCCCGGCGCCTTCGGCGCCAGAGCGCCGCCGTTGCAGCAGCCGGGCGGCCGCTTCCGCAGCGAGAGCCCCGCCGCGGAGGTGGCGGACGAGCGCAGCGCCGGCGCGCCGGCGCCGGGCGTGGCCGCACGGCCAGGCCTCACGCGGCCCTCGCGCGCCTCGGGCGGTCAGGGCGGCGCCCGCCTTGTCGAGGAGCCGCCGAAACTCCTGAAGTCGCAGCCCCCGGCGACCCTCGCCAGGGCGGAGCCGTCCCCCGGCGCGTTGACCCCCCCCGCCATGTCGTCAGCCTCGTCCCTCCTCTCGACGCCAGCCCTGTCGCCGAGGGACGCGCCAGAGGCGCCACCCGGCCGCTCTGCGGCGGCGGATCTGGAGGCGCACCGGGCAGGCGAGAAGTTCAGGGTGGAGATCGAGGCCAAGCGCGCGAAGGGCGAGGAGTTCGACGCCGAGACCTTAGACGACATGTTCAAGGCCGCCCTCCTGCTGCAGTCCCTGGGCAAGCACCAGGACGCTGAGCCCCTGCTGCGCCAGGCCCTCCAGAGCCGGACGGAGGCGCTCGGACCCGAGCACACGCAGAGCCTCGACGCGCTCAGCTCGCTGGCGGTGTCGCTCAAGGCGCTCGGCCGCCACGCGGAGGCGGAGCCGCACTACCGCAGGGCGCTGGAGCTGCGGCAGATCGCCCTGGGGCCAGTCCACCCAGACACGCTGGCGTCCCTGAACAATCTGGCCATGGTGTTGCAGTCGATGGGCAGGCACGCGGAGGCGGAGCCGCTCCTGTGGAGCGCGCTGGACGGCTGCAAGGCGACCCTGGGGCACACCCACCAGGACACGCTGACGTCGCTCAACAACCTCGCGATGCTGAAGAAGGCCATGGGCAAGCACTCGGACGCGGAGATGCTGTACCGCGGGGCGCTGGAAGGCAGCGAGGCCACCCTCGGCCCGGCGCACCTCGGCACGCTGACCTCGCTCAACAACCTCGCGGTGTTGCTGCAGGCCCAGGGCAAGTACGAGGAGGCGGAGCCCCTCCTCAGGCGCGCCCTCAAGGGCCGCGAGGCGGCCCTCGGCTCCGCCCACCCGGACTCCCTGAACTCGCTGAACAACCTGGCCATCTTGTTGCAGGCGACCGGGCGACACCAGCAGGCCGCGCAGCTCCTGCGGCGGGCACTGCACGGTTGCTGCGAGACCTTCGGCAGCACGCACCCGAACACGCTGGCCGCGCGCACCAACTTAGGGATGCTGCTGAAGGCCACGGGCCAGCTGGAGGAGGCAGAGGCGCTCCTGCAGCAAGCCGTCCGGGGCCGGAAGGAGGTGCTCGGGCCCCACCACCCCGAGACGCTGAGTATCACCAACAGCCTCGCGATGTTGCTGCAGTCCTTGGGCCGCCTCGAGGAGGCCGAGGCGTTCTTCAGGGAGACGCTGGACGGCTGCGAAGCGGCCCTCGGCGACGAACACCCGAACACGGCCACGGCCCGCGAGAATCTGGAGGAGCTGCTGCGGATCACGCAGGCGGACGTAGCCTCCCAGGGCTCTGCTGGCGACAAGACCGAGCAGCAGTGCTCGGTGATGTGAGCGCCCATGTTACTGCACCGAGCTCGGGTTTTGCCCGAGGCGTCCCCGGCCCACGGTGTCCCCCTCTTCTAGCGCGACCCGGGGGCTTCATGCTGCACCTCTGGGCATCTCGAGGGGTGCTCTGGAGGCCTGGGGGGCCTCTCGGGACATCTTGTGGACACCTTGGGTTGTGGAAGTCGCTTATTGGAGAGGAAGCATGCTGCCAAATCATTTCCAGATGTCTAACACATGTTTCAAACATGGCTTAAATATGTAAAAAAAATATGTTTGAAACATGTTTAGAACATGTTTACACAGTTTGAACACATGTTTAATTCAATGATAGGATTGTTAAAGTGTCCATTGCCATGGCATCCACAAACCTTGGGCCAAGGATATCGTCGGTCGCGGCTGGCTTGGAGGGGTTGCCACATGGGTTGAGGGCGCACGTGCTAGAGCAAAACCGAACAGACGGCGTAAGCACAGGCTTCTGGAGGTCCGCGCGGAGTTTTTAGTCGGAAATTGGAGCATATACGTTACCAGTGGCGGGCTGTTTTGCAATCCCAGGAATGTCCCGTGGAAACATGTATACACCAGGATCCCGTATGCACCAGGAGCCGCGTTCCTGTGCGAGCTCCAGTGCGGGGCCCGAACAAGCGTCGGTGTATATATATATATATATATAGAGAGGGAGAGAGTTCGGCTCCCTATTGAGGTCGGCGCTGGACCCCCCTCCGCATACTGGCACTTACCCCTGGGCAGCGCGTTCGGCACCGCCCCCGGCGCACCCGCTCCTCGCGCCGTGGAAGGGTCGAGGAGCGAGGGGCGAGACCGGTGCCGACCTCAGACATCCGCGCGAATCTTTGAGTCGGCCCCTGTCCCTCTACAGGGGGAATATTCCAAAGTAGTCCAAAAATAGTCTGGGGATTCTTTGTTGAGTATTGTTGGGCATCTTTTGAGCATTGTTTGCGTATTCTTTACTTGTCGTCCAAAATCCCCTTGTCGGGGGACAGGCCCGACCTAAGCGAATCTTCTAGATTGTATGACCATGTCCTATCATGTGTTGGTCTTCTGTCCGAGCCCCCGTCCAGATAGAATGCCTCGTTCCGTGTCGCCGCCTGCTTGTAGGAGGAAGCGGAGGCAGAGCAGGAGGAGGAGGAGGAGGAGGAGGCAGAGCAGGAGGAGGAAGAGGAGGCGAATGTCCCTTGATACACGTACCGCTTGTTTTGGGGATGAGCAGCCATCCTTCCAGCGGACTCCCTCCACGAATTCCTCCACCGCCCCCGGACCCTCCCACAAGTTCTTCCTGAAGCGTTGGCTTAGAGATTCTAGTCTTCTGGTCGGGCGCGCTGCCGCGAGGCCCGCCACGAGTCATCATCTCGAGATTACCGGAACCGCGGCCAGGTCGACCAGCCTGACTCAAACCAGTCGCGTCAACCCCTCTAGCAGACTGCCAGCGTCCGTACAGCGGTTTGTTTAGAGGGGAACCATGGTTATCACGTAGTTGCTCCATGAGCATCATGTAGCAACCCTGAACAACCTCATGGATACCGGCCGTAGCTGTTCCACAATAATAGCACGTGCACGCCACGTTGCGGTACAGTTGGTGGCACAGAAAGTAAGAAGCTAGCCAGCCAGCCGATGACCAAAATAAGGGTGTTGTTCCCTGACGGCCCCGAGCATCCGTTGGAGTTCTGGGACATCCCGCAAAGTCCAAGATCGATTGAACAGTTCGTCCCTGGATACACTACAGAAAAATGTGTCACGACAGTTGTTCCTATTGTGCCTCCAGCCGTTTCGAGATTTCGTTTCGTCAGGTGCATATCGAATTGCAACCTGTAGGAGTGTGCATGATGCCGCACGCACCAGTGTAGCATGTGTGCTGCCGAGCTTGTCTGTTGTGTCGTAACGCCGAGGCTAAGCATGCCTGGTGCCCGACGCCCTCAAAGGGAACAAATTCGCTCGTCGCACGACGAGCCACAATTCATAACCGATCGTTGTTGACCCGAAGGGCTCAACGCTGGCTGCTTGGTGCGGGACTTTACGCTCATGCGTTGCTAGGACGTTTCGCCCGCCAATTGTTGTAGCGCTTGTGATCGTAGGACATGCTATTCTCAGTTGAACGATTGCATCTGCAATTTCTGTCCTGGTAGCAGGATACGTGCTAATGACCTCGCAATTTCTTTAGGCGGATATCATCCCATATGATTCCCTCCCGTGTTCTTGGAAAAGGGGGTGGAGGCATGCAGGGGCGGGTAGCTTCTCGTCTCAAGAACATTGGCGTTTACAACAAATATTTGGAGCGAGCATCGCGCAAATGTTGGCATGCTTTAGATATGCTTGTGGGCGTGACCACTTTGAGGTCGAGCGCACTTAAGGCCATGGGCATGGACGCAGCGCGCTAGCTTGCCCCACGAATTCACGAACTCCCACTCCCAGTAATTGAAAACATGGTCGACGGTTTGCTCGGGTTTGAGGGTTTGAGGGGCATCGGTGATGGCGGGAGCGTGAATGTTCGATCAGATGTTACCTTGGTTGATCCAGGTGCCGTCGCCAGACACACGATATTTTGATATGTTCCATCCCCAGAAATCCCAACCTTTTCCCCAGTAGCGGTGTTTCATCCCAGGTCTTGTCTTGATGATCCTGAGGCTCAGCGAGGGCCCCCAGAGGCCGAAAATTCAAGCAGTGACGAAGCGTCTTGGCTTGCTTATAGGCACCCAAAGAATATTCTAGGAAATTTGTGTGATTTGCACCAAATGCTCTTATATTTCTGATTGACACCATTTTGTTTGAAACCATCAACTTGCTGTCCGAAGAACACGAACTGATTGTGTTATCAGAACATTCTTTCGTTTGAGAAAATTGCGCGATGAACATTTCGGAGTGCTGGAAAGGTCGGTCCATGTTCAAAAAATGGCAGCAACAAATCCCGTCGTGCTCTTTTCACGGCGCAGGCGCGCCGTGAGCCCGCTTGGGTTCGTCCACTAGTCGAAGCCGGCGCTTCCGAGCGTTGCTTGCTTCCTCGCCAGCGCCGCCATCTCCCATGCTGCCATCCAGCAGGCCTCCACAGATCCCGCCGTGCCTCGTCGCGACGCGGGCACGCCGCTGGTGTGCCCGTGGCTTCTGCCGCCCGGCTGCGCAGGCGGAGGGCCCTGCCCCGCCGCGCCCGCGCGAGGCCCGCGAGCGGGGCCTCGCGGCGAAGGAGCAGGAGCAGCGAGACCGCCAGCAGCGCCTCTGCGAGCAGGATGCGCAGGGCTCGCTTCGGTGCCTCCGGTTCGAGTCGATTCGAGGTCGATGGCCTCCAGTTCCGATGCGATCCGATTTCGGATGCCGGCTTGGGCTCCGATTTCCCAGTGGAGGCACAGTAGCCTGCCGATGTCCGCCGATTGGACTTCTCCCGACTCGACCGCCTGTTCCCGCCGATCTGGTTAATTTCGATCTATGGTCCGACTTAACGATTCGATTCTGGGCTCTCCTGGGACGCGTGCCTGGGGGAACGTGGAGCAGGGACCTTCAGATAGTGAATCACGGCAGTTTCATTTCTTCTTGGTCTAAATGTATGTCAGCGAATGACGCTCAACAGCCCCAAATAGCGCCCAGTAGCGCTGTTCAAACAGCGACCAATAGCGCCCAATAGCGCCATGTGAGGGAGATGCATGGTGTCCGCTTTGCTCGCGATTAGGCGCGATGTTGGGCGCCAAGGGGACGACAAAATGCTTCCGTGAGGCGCTTTCCCAGGGACCCAGACGTGTTCGCGTCGTGAAGAAAACACGATGGGAACTTTTGGGTAATTTTCGGCCTCCCTGGGACCGTCCGAAAAACAACTCGGGATGAAAGACGTCCCGGGACCCCGTCTTGAAAAAAACAAGACGTCAGATGTTTGGGGGCATTCCGCGCTGGTCGCACTCCGTGGATGCGCCCGTAAGGCGCGTGCTGCGTGTGAGTACACACGACTGGGGTCTGGGGCCAGGGGATTCCCAGGCCGGGATTTGGGTAGCAACATGGGGTGCCGGGTCCTTCAGGCCTGGACCCAGATGACACTCAATATCGTTCCCGCGGCGGCCCGAGATCGTCAACGGACGGCCTAAGATGCCCGGGAGGCGGCCCGAGGGGACCTGAACACAGCCCAGCAAGGCACAAGCGGTCCAGGAGCATTTCCACGCGGCCCTTGAGAGGCCAACATGATGTATGCCCCCGACGTTTTCAATGCTTATAGCATTGTCTCCATTTTCTGTCCATAATACCCCCGCGAGGGCTTCCAGCTGGCCCCAAGATTGTTCAAGACGGTTCCAAAGCGCCCACGACTGCAAGGGGACGGCCCAAGGGGGCCCCAGGAGGACACCAAGAAACTTCTAAGAGGCCTCGGGGGGGCCCAAGACAATCCAAGAGGGCCCCAATACAGCCCAAAAGGGTTTCAAAACGGCCCAAGAGAGCCCCAGGAGAGATCCCGAAGCAGGCTCCCAAAAGAGCTCCGAGGCAGCCCCGAGAAGGCTCAAGCAGGCTTTCAAAATTCAACCACACACGAGTTGGTTTCCCACTAATCATTGGCAACTCGTGGGCTCCGTTTCTATCACATCTGGCCACGTCAGCCCCTCTCACTGGCAGAGGGCGGCAGTGACTCGCCGTAGGCGTCTTCGATACTCTGCCTCCTGCTCCTCAGCCTCCTCCTTACCATTCTCTCATGATTTCTCTCGTTCCCCAAGCAGCGCTCGCACAAGGGTTTTTTCCTTCGTTAGGCGGGTGTGCCGAGGTTTCCCCTCGTGCCCCGTTTGTTGCCGACTATGAGCGCCTCTTGTGCGTTCCGTCCGTTGTGTCTGTGTGTGTTTGGTGTGTGTGTGTGTGTGTGTGTGGTGTGTGCGTGTGTGTGTGTGTGTGCTCGACTTGCTCCGCCTCGTCGTTGCGCGCGGGGCCGCGACCGCGCCGCCAAAAAGTGTTCGTGTGCTTGTGTGTGTGCGTGTGTATGTGTGTCTGTGTGCCTTGCGTGTTGTGTGTGAATGTGTTGTGTTGTGTGTGCTGTGTGTTCTGTGTGTGGTGTGTCTGTGTTGTGTGTGAATTGTGTGTGCGTGCGTCCGCGTTTATGTGTGACGTGTGTTTTGTGTGTGGTGTGTAGATTGAGCGTGGTTTGTGTGTGCGTGTGTTTGTCTTGTGTGTTTGTTTGTGTGTTTGTGTGCGTGCTTGTGTGTTGGTGCGTTCGTGGGTTTGTGGGTTGGTGTGCTTGTTTGTTTGTGTGTGTGTTTGTGTGCGTGTGTGCTTGTGCGCTTGTGCGCTTGTGTGTGCGTGTGTGTTTGTGCGTGCGTGCGTGCGTGCGTGCGTGTGCGTGAGTGCGGGCGTGCGCGCGTGCGTGCGTGCGTGCGTGTGTGCGTGTGTGGCGTTGTGTTCAGTGGTGTGGTGTGGTATGGTGTGGTGTTGTGTTGAGTTGTGTTATGGTGTGTTGTGTGTCTGTGTGTTGTGTGTTGTGTGTGTGTGTCTGTGTGTGCTTGTATGTGTGGTTCTGTGTGCGTGTGTGCGTTGCTTGTGTAGTTGTGTGCGTTTGTGTGTGACTGTGTGTGTTGTTGTGTATGTGTGCGTATGTCTGTGTGTGCCTGTGTGTATGTCTGCGTGTGTGTGGATGTGTGTGTGTGTGTCTGTGTGTGTCTGTGTGCGTGTGTCTGTGTGTGCTGTGTGTGTCTCTGTGTGTGTGTTTGTGTGTGCTTGTGCGTGTGTGTGTGTGTGTGCCTGTGTGTGTCGGCATGTGTTGTGTGTGCGTGTGCGTATGCGTGTGCGTGTGCGTGTATGTGTGTGTGTGCGTCTGTATGTGTGTGCGTCTGTATGTGTGCGCGTGTGGGTGTGTGCGTGTGTGCGTGGGGGTGTGCGTGGGGGTGTGGGTGGGTGTGTGCGTGTATGCGTGGGTGTGTGGGTGTGTGTGTGTCTGTGTGTATGTGTGTGCGTGTGTGTGTGTTGTGTGCTGTGTGTTGTGTGTGTGCGTGTGTGTGTTGTGTCTTGTGTGTTGTGTGTTGTGTGTAGTGTGTTGTGTGGTTATGGGTTGTGTGTGTTGTGTGTATAGGCGTGCGTGTATGTGTGGAGGGGGAGGGGGGTGGGGCGTGTGCGTGTTCGTGTGCGTGTGCGTGTGCGTGTGCGGGTGCGTGTGTGTGTGTGTGTGTGCGTGTGCGTGTGTGTAGTGTGCGTGTGTGTGTGCGTGTGCGTTTGCGTGTGCGTGTGCGTGTGCGTGTGCGCGTGTGGGTGTGTGCGTGCGTGCGTCCGTGTGTGTGCCTGCGTTGGCCCAGGCTAGTGCCGGCGCCGAGAAGATCTGGTCCCTCGCTGAGTTTGGAGACCGCGCGGGCCTCCTCTGTCAAGTTGCAGGCCAGCTTGCCTCTCACCCCGTTGCCTTCAAGCGGATCCTCCTGCGTGACGCCGTGCAGGAGGCGCCTGACTTCATCCAACAAGTTTCCCAAGGACGATTCGCCGAGTACCGCCCTTGCCGCGCAACAGTCCAAAACTTGTCTCGCGAACTTGCGGGGGCCCCCGCCCCCTGATTTCTCCTGCGTCGAGACGTGCGAGGAGCTGAAGCACTGGCTGGACACGGTGACTGAGGGCCCTGACTTCTCCCCCTCCTTGCCTGCGTTGTCTGGCGCCACCCCCACTGCTTCAACATTGCGCACCCACCGCTCAGGGCGCCCTTGGCAGGAAGATGGTTTCCCAGCTGGCCCAGAACCTTCACCCCATGCTCGGCTGCGACGCGGGCATCATCTGCCTTGCCCTCCAGCACTTTTTGTTCCTTCGACACCTTGGCCGGCACCCCTGCTCTGGGAGTGAGGTGTCGGGCGAGTTTGTCGGCCTGAACACCATTCCCTTTCACTTGCGGCGGAGCGATGAGCGCATCAGAAAGGCCCCCCGCAGCGCCAACCGGCGCATACCCAATTTCCTCACCGACCCCGTTGCTGACCCCCCCCCCGGATCTACCCCCGCTCGCCCCTGGCCACCACCACGCATTCCCCCCCACCGCTCGGCAGAGCTCGCGCGCAGCCTTTTGGCAATGGCCGCTCTTCGGGAGATACCGTCAACCCGCATACTCAGGATGGGCAACCTTCCCAAGGGTACCCTTGCATCCTTGCCTCCTCGGTCCATCCTTTGCCGCTTTCGCTGGCCGCGCCCCGCTCGAAAAGCTTCGAAATGGGCGTCCAAGGCCCTTGCATCCTTATCGCGCATCCTTTCAATACTGGTTGACTGTAGACGAATTCACCCTCCCCGTGGGCGATTTCAGCAACGCTGGCGATTACGCCGAGGCCCTCCTCGGCCTTGCGGCACCCTGCTACGTCCACGGCAGAGCCTCCGCGATGCTGCGCCCGCCCAGATCTGACGCCTCGATCCACGGCTTGGCCGCTCTCCGCACCGCAACAGAGGGCTGCCTCAAGGCCATCGTCCGCGTCGTCATGCACGCGCCCAGCGAGCGTTCTCTCGACGACCCCACGCAGCGGATGGCCCTCACCGAGCAAGCGTGGAGCGAGCTCGATTCTGACGACTGTGCCCTCCGCGTTTTCAACGACCACTTGCCACCCCTCCTGCGCGAAGGACCCTTCGGCGACCCGAACATCTGCCAGGTCGGCCTCGCCCTCGAGGACGCCTGCGTCGTGGCCTTCCCCACGGCCCCACGGCCTCAGATGGAGCCTGCGCCCGCGCCCACCCCTTCCGCCCCGCTCGCGCGCGACCTGTCTCCCCCCCCCACAGAGAGTGAGGACAACGGCGGGCGTGCTGCTTCCCCACATACCCCCCCCCTGTGCGCCCGCGAAGGCCCGCCCCGCCGCTCCTGCTGCCAGCCCTCACCAGGCGCCCGGCGGCCCTGGGCAGCGGATCGCGCGGACCCCGCCCCCCCCCCCGGGAGGGGATCCTGACCATGGCTCCCGCGACAGCTTCGCCGCTGCCCCCCAAGCTGCGGTCATCGCTGACCCTGACTCCCTCAGGCCCTTTTCCACCTGCCACAGCTTGGTTCTCCGCGCCCCTCCTGCCTGTCCCCCCCCCCCGCGGTGCCCGCGCAAATGTCGCATTTCCCACCTTCTCGACATGCAGGGCGCCCTCAACGACCTCGCAACCACCGCGCTTCGCGTGATGCTCCCTCTGGCCACGAGCGCATCGCCCTCGCCTTGCCCTCCTTGGCGGCGATCCCCCCCCTGAACATGGCGCGGCAGCACATTGTATAAGTTTGGATCAACATTGGCTGCCCCCCCTATCAACGACCACCACCTCCCTGCTTCCTGAGACCTGGGTCCCCTG